AGAGACGAACACAAAAACCAGACAGCGCAAGCCTGGATCTCCTGAGCTAGACTCCTGCAGCGTCCGGCAGAAAGGGCGTGAACACTGAGAGGAAGGAGGGTGACGCCCACGACAGAAATGACGAGGAGGATGACGACGACGAAGACGTGGCTGTGGCTTCTTTGGTCTTCTGGGTGTTTGGTGTGGTGTTGCTTGTCTGCATGCAACCTGCACGCCTCCTCTTCGTCCAAGTCATAATTTGAGCTGCAGGGTCTTCGTCAAATCTAGCTGGCTCGAGCTCGTTTCTTAGCTGTTGGCCTTCTCGGCACGGCATGCAACGTGTACCTCCCTGGCGGCACAGCCTACTCCAGCCGAGCGCAGTCTAGCCTAAATCAACTTGGCATATATGTGCTCCGCCCCACCTGGTCTCCGTTAACTTTGCGAAACTAGGCGCAACTTGAATCATCGAAGATTGCTGCAGCCCAGAAGGGGCTTAGCCTGGCTCATGCCATCGAAGCAGGGGCTAGCCGAGCTGAGCTGAACATGAGACGCTGCCGATCACAACTTACATGTTGCCGCTTCTGGGTCCGAGGCTTGCCGCTAGCTTAGCATAGCCAGGCTCGGCGTAGCCTGGCGTGACGGTGCTCGATGTTGCATGGTCTGGCCTAGCGAATCTTGTATTCTACCGCGTGAACTTTGGCGGGGCGTGTTTCAGCCTCTCGTGGCCTAGCCTACTGGCTTGCACCGTAGGGTTGTCTATGTGTGTAATTTGCTTCGGCTGGCCAGGTAAGCTTGACATCGCAGCCCTGCATAACCCAGGTCGCCGATGAACATCCTGGACTAACTTACATCAGATTGCACAGCATGCTGTATAACGCTAGCTCGATAAAAAAGGCAGCCAGGCTCTTCTCTATTCATGTCGGGTGGGTCGACGTGTAACTTAGGGCAGGTTGCGCTGAGTTAGGGCAGGGAGGTACGGTCAAGATCGGTAGATGAAACGATGCTCATTAAAGCCAAACTTGCCAGGCCCGCTGTGCCACAACTTCACTTTGTCGACTGTGATCCAAGCTTAGTGCAGCTTACGAGTGCATGAGTGGAACGTGTCCCCGCTCAGCTTCGCATAGTCGCGCACACATTAGATATCGCTTACGTGCGTCATCCCAACATAGACCAACAGACCAAACGAACCATTGCCAGAGTTGAGCACATCTTAGAAGACTCTGTCTGTTACTTCGGACAAATCTAGCACGGCTTAGAATTAGAATTAGTGGTACCATTCGCTTGGGTTGGGAATGTACGGAATATCTTCAGCAATCAAAATTTAGCTTATAGTCACCTTGCTTGGCTTAACAGAGCTAACCCTAACTGAACAATTCATGACTCGGCCTGGGCTGGCTGAGACTTTCGTGAATTGGCCTGTCGTGGCTACGCTTGTCATTGTGAAGCATCAATCTCCCTAGCTTGGCATGGCGCCGCTGAGCTTAGCTTCGATTTGCTTTCGATTGTGCGGCTAGGCTTAACCCACCGCGGCGTGACGCTGCTTGGCTTATAGTGGCAAGGCAAAAATCGGCCTACTTTCGCGAGAATTGCTATAGATTGGCTCGGCTTGGCCTGGCGTGGGCTGATTTGGCATGGCTTGACTTTTCGTGACCTGGCTTGTCATGGCGTACGATGCCGCACTCGCAACATTCGTATCATTCGTTTCTACCGTCGCTTTCGCTGTCGCTTTTCCCTAACTTACCTTTGGTTGGCAACGGCCAGCTCGGATCAATGTGTGGGAACGTAATTTGACTTCCCGCGTGCGGTGGACACCTAACTCGGCCTGGTTTCGTTTCGCCTATACTCGATTGGGTTGCGTAATGTGTATGTCGCCTGTCTCAGCTGGTCTGATCTGCTATCGTAACCGTCTTGACTTATATTCATGAATTCATTATCCAGTCCGCCTTTGCATCGGACGCGCCTGCGAAAGACTAGAAGAAGAAAAAACGGCATACACACCAACGTGTGGCTCTCCGCGCGGATTTGCTGGATCTGCGCTGGACCCCCCTCCCTGACGCGCGCGGAGCGCGCCAGGAGCGGCGCCGGAGGCGTCGCTGGGGAGCGCAGCGCGGATCCAAGAAACCCGCGCGGAGCGCCAATTATTATGTTTATGCTGTAAAAAAGGCTGGCGCAACAGGTGCCATTCTCGCCGGGTCCCCGGTTAGTTGCTGCTTTTGTTTCGAGTGTTCCTCGGAGCTGCTTGCTTCGCTTTGCTCTGCTTCGCTGCTCTGCCTTACTGTTTTTTTCTCCTGCGCGGGGTCACCTTGCATCGCTTTGGCGTTACACCACAGTGCATATGTGCATGGCTTCTCATTGCTTCGGATGCACCACTGTGCACTGTTTCGAATTGCTTGACATCGTTTTACAATTTTCTTGCATTGCGTTGCGTTGTTCATATTCGTTTCTTCGGTACCTTGTAACAGAGCCACAAATCTCCATTGTTGCATTGCAGCAGAGGTATTCCTTCGAGCTGCTATGCGTCGCCATGTGTACTCTTCCTTCGGGGGCCACCACTTTGGCTTTTCACTGGATTACTCGCTTTGCGACGCTGCGTTCTGATCCGAACTGCTCTGTGCTGCACTGTGCCGCTCTGCCTTGTGCTGCATTCGTGTGACGTGCTTTGTGCTGCGGTGCCGACCGTTGCATAGATCTGGAAGGAGGGCTGCACCACGCAGGCGTCGCGCCGGCATCCTTTTTCTCAAGACCGAGCTCACCGCTCTGCCACGAGGCGCTGTGACTCCTCGGCGAGGCGAGGCCCCGCAACTTCCAGAAGCGATGCCACAACCCTTGTGGCATGCGGCACGAAGTATATCCGAGGTAAGGGGGGGAGATCGAAGTGGAACGTGGAGCCCCCCTACCGGGAAATCGGTTTCGGTTTCGTGTTCATGCGTGCCGTGCGTGCGGGCGAGGCGAAGCTGCGCGGGCGGGCGGGAGAAAAATCTCCTGTGGCTGAGGCGCGGCCGGACCAAATGATTCCATTTCGGCAACCGGTGCCGCGCGGTGTCCCGCCGGTGTCCCCGTGTGGCGGAGGCGCGGCCGGACCAAATGATTCCCTCCCGATTCTGGTGCTGCGCGGTGTCCCGCCGGTGTCCCGTCGGTGTCCCGAGGATGATGATGATGATGATGATGATGATGATGATGATGATGATGATGTCGATGATGATGGTGATGATGATGATGATGATGATGGAGATGGTGGTGATGATGATTGTGTCCCGATGAAGATGATGATGATGATAATGATCATGATGATGTTGACGATGTTGATGATGATGCTGATGATGATGGTGATGGTGGTGATGATGAGGGTGTCCCGATGCTGATGTTGATGATGATGTTGCTGATGGTGATGTTGATGATGGTGCCCCGATGATGATGATGATGATGTTGATTCTGATGATGTTGCTGATGAGAAGATGGTGATATGATGATGATGATGATGAAAATGATGATGATGGTGCCCCGATGATGATGATGATGATGATGATGATGATGATGATGAGGTTGATGATGATGATGATGCTGTTGATGATGGTGATGATGATGGTGTCCCGATGATGATGATGATGATGATGATGATGACGATGCCGGTGTCCCGATGATGATGATGGTTATGATGAGGATGATGATGAGGTGATGATGATTTTGATGATGGTGGCCCGATGATGGTGATGATGCTGATGTTGATGATGATGATGGTGTCCCGATGATGATGATGATGCTGATGGTGATGATGATGATGATGCTGACGATGATGATGGTGTCCCGATGATGATGATGGTGATGATGATGATGATGCTGACGATGATGATGGTGTCCCGATGATGGTGATGTTGATGATGTTGTCCATGATGATGAGAGATTAATAATGGTGGTGGTGTTCCGATGATGATGATGGTGTCCCGATGAATGTGATGCTGATGATGATGATAATGGTGACGATGATGGTGTCCCGATGATGATAATGATGGCGATGATGATGTTATGGTGATGAGGTGATGATGATGATGCCCCGATGATGATGATGATGACGGTGGTGACGATTATGTTGATGATGATGATGACGCTAATTGTGAGATCGATTGTGATATCGATAGTGAGATCGATTGTGAGACCGATTGTGAGATCAGATCGATAGTGAGATCGATAGTGGGATCGATTGTGAGATCGATCGTCAGATCGATTGTGAGATCGATCGAATGAAATAGACCGAGTGAGCTCGACTGTGAGATCGATCGAATGAGATCGATCGGGCGAGACCGATAGTGAGATCGATAGTGAGATCGATAGTGAGACCGATCGAGTGAGACGTTGGTTCCTCCCCCCCCGAACCTCCTATCACCCGAAGGATGGTCGTATAGGTGTGTGTATATATATATATATATATATATATCACAGGTTGTGTGGCGGACTGGCGGCAGCCCGCACGAACACAACACTTGAGGCAACCACGAGACTGGTAAAGACATTGAGCCAGACCTTACGATGGCACGTCCGAGATACGTTCGCGTTGGCGCACTGTGGTCTGGTATTCGATGCTATGCGAGACTATGCTACCGCCTTCTCGCCTACACATATCATCAACACCCACGCGCACGCACGCGCCAGAAGCATGGCCGATACCCCCTCTGCGAGTGGATGTGTCCGTGTACTACTTTGGATACACCCGTTCGTGCCTGCACACGTGCGCGCACCAACTGCATGTTGGATACTCCTCTCTGCGCGCGTATCCTGATGTGCGAAGAATGCGCCGATCAGATGTTGGATAGCCCCAGTCACGTCTGCACATGATTCACGTCTCAAATGCGCACGCGTCGGATGCATATTGGGCAACCCCCTCCGCACACGTCCTCTGGTGTGTGAAGAAACGGCGCCGACCACATGTTGGATACCCCGTCTCGCGCCTGCATGCATGAATACAGTAACTCGCATTGACTGCACACGCGCCAGACGCACATTCGACATCCCCCCATCCCCGCACAGGTACATTCACCTGCGGAATCCGACGCCACCGTCTCGACACTCTTCTGGCCTAGGCCCAAGCGCCCCCCCTACAAGAGTTAATCCTGAGCCAGAGTTCGTACCAAGAGGGAACGAGGCCAAATTTCTGGTAACTTATGACATGTCTGGCATCCAGACTTCCTGTGCGTACGGGACACACTCTGTGCAGACGGACTGTGGTAAACGAGCCCCTCGCTGTAGCAAGCAGGCGGGGACTGCAGGCAGCAGGCCAGCAGCTTGGAAGTACGATGGTGGAGATCACAACCAGCCACAAAGATTCGAAGCAGCGCCCCCCCAGACGTGGAGATCTTGGGCCTCGCACTGGCAAGTGAGAATTCCACGCGCGGGGGTCCCCCCGCCATGCACATGCACACGAGAACACATATGGCCCCGCGCCGCCAGCAGCCTGTGCTCCAGGCAGTGTGACTCCCCCCCGGCTTTGCGGGCTGGGCGCTGGCCGTCTGGCTCCAGCCTCGAGAGGGCTGACTGTAAGAGCCCTTGGGACCTGCTGGCAGGCCCGCAGCCGACCGGGCGTCATCAGGCGGGAGCGCTGGCCGCTGGAGCGGGTCGCACGTGGATCAACGGGAACGGGATCCGCCTCCAGGAGGAAAATGGAGGAGGGAAAGGGACGGGCGAGGCAGCGGGGCCGCTCAGCGCGGGCCAGTCCAGAAGGCGCTCGCCACTGTCTCCTCGGCCGACGCGCCGCTCAGCAGCGACCCCCCCGGCAGGACGGCGTCGACCCGCCCCAATCCGGCGCTGGGACCGCCCAGGCGGCGAGCAACCTTGAGCTGTTCACGAATGCTGGCGAGGCGAGCTTCGGGTGACGCCCTGATGCGGTAAATCACCCTCCCGCTCAGCATCTTGAAGCACACAGAGTCGCCGTCGAGAGACGCTTGCAGCAGCAGCGTGGGCAAAAGATGGGCCTCGTAGCTCAAGCCAACCCCTGGCGACGGTAAGTCGCACTCGCCGGAACCATTCCGGCCAAATGCCACGCCGGTGCCATCGCTCCGGAGCAAAGCGGTGTGCTCCCATCCTACGGCAACGTGCACGTACGTAACGCCTTCAGTCAGTGCCGCAAGGTCACACTGGCCAAAGTTATTCCGGCCAAACGCCACGGCGGTACCATCGCTCAGGAGCAGAGCGGTGCTGCTCAGCCCAGCGGCCACCTGCACGTAGGTGAGCCCTTTCGCCAACGGCGGAATCTCGCATTGCTTGCAACCGTTATAGCCAAATGCCAGAGCCGTGCCATTGCTTAAGAGCAGAACGGTGTGCCCCGCCCCTGCGGCAACCTGCTCGTAGATTAGGCCTTCCGCTGGCGCTGGGATCTTGCACTGGCCGAAGGTATTCTGACCAAACGCCACGGCAGTGCCATCGCTCAGGAGCAGAGCGGTGTGCGTCGCCCCAGCGGCCACTTGCCCATACGTCAAGCCCTCCGCCGGCGCCGGAATGTCGCACTGGCCGAAATTATTCCGGCCGAAGGCCACGGCAATGCCATCGCTCCGGAGCAAAGCGGTGTGGTCTGCCCCAGCGGCCACCTGTATGTAAGTGACACCTTCCGCCGGCGCCGGAAGGTCACACTCGCCAAAGTCATTCCGGCCAACCGCCACGGCGCTGCCATCGCTCAAGAGCAACGCGGTGTGATTCCAACCGACGGCCACCTGCACGTAGGCGAGGCCTTCCGCTGGCGCCGGAATATCGCACTCGCCATAGGTGTTCTGGCCAAACGCTACTGCCGTGCCATCGCTGAGGAGCAAAGCGGTGTGCCGTGCTGAGGCAGCAGACATCCTCGAGGATCTCGTGCGGCGCCACCTTGTGAGGTAAGTGAGGTCGCTGGGCCTGAACCTTGAGCCGATAGCCAATGGCTACTGGTTTCATTCTTCGTGTAGGTTCGAATTGCTTCGGCCTCTGTTTTGGCCATGGCTCGTCTCAGCACGGCCTCATTTGTCACGGCTTCTGGCGCTCGCTCTCTCGTGTCCCCTCTTGGTGTTCAATATCATCTCATGTTTTGTAGAATTTGGAGGCGGATCCGGCCTCTGCGGAGATGGCAGATGTCAGCCCGTTGCCTGGAATGCATACCGAGGATTCAAGCAGGTATCATGGGCCAGGGCATTTGGCGCCTTGACAGCAACAAACAACACTGTGTTGGTGTGCCCCGCCACATGGATGAAAAGGGGGGAAGGGTCACCAGAAGTCCCAATGCTCCGTGCGCGTGCCGCTGATCGAAGAGAGCGCCTGCATGCCTACAACTTGGCTTGACCCTCGAAGTTGGTCCAAGACGTCGGCCACTAGACCGCAGAACAGCCACTGAGGCGAGGGCTTCGTGCTCATGTAGACCTCCGACCACCAGACTGCTCCGAGTCGCCAGCCGCTGGACATCTACAGTCGGGGCGTTGACCTAAGGAACCCTAAATAAGGAACGAGGCCCCTTTTTTTCCATAAGTTAACCTTGAATTTCCAGTCGAAAACATAAGGAAAGCCTGAGGCAAGCTGTGAAACACTTAAGGAACGCGGAGCCCCCCCCCAATGAAAAGCGTTCCTTCTTCAGGGCCCCGACTGTACTGAGGCGAGGGCTTTGTGCTCATGTAGACCTCCGACCACCAGATTGCTCCGAGTCGCCAGCCGATGGACCTCCAAACCCCCTCCCCAGTGCCGTGCTCTCATCCGGGGCCGCTCTTCGATGGCCCTGGCGCCTTTTAGAAGAACACCACCGGGGCTCAGTGGGCCCTGGGGACGGCAGGGCCGATTGTCACCTCTGTCGAAGAATCGCCTCTTGAAAATGGGAGCGGCAAGAGACGGCGACCAAAAACGGAAAACAAACAAACGGCGACGGGATTGGAACGGGAACCAGAACTGGAAGAAAAACGGCGACCGAACCGGCAACAGAAACGGCGACTGAACCAACGAAACACGGCAAAACACGGAACTGGTGACAAAAACGGCCCTGTCGTTTCCAGGGCCCACTCAGCACGAGGGGGGCTGAGTTCCTTCTCCTTCCCCCCTGGGGGAGCCCATCATATCGACGATCTCTCGAGGAGAGGGGTCGAAGCCGATGAGCACCCGAAGGGAGGTGAGGACAACAACTCACCCGATTGTGGCCAATCTGCCAAGAGCCTGGGGAGGCCTCTGAAGGTAAGTGAACGTTTTCAGATGCGGCGTTTCGACACTGGGCGGAAGGGGACCTCTGCTTAATACGACTGTTTGCGACAGTGCGTCCTATGGGGGGAGTTTCCGCCTGCTCGAAGCAGACGCCAAAAACAGCCAAGATCTACTCCATCGGTGGGGGGGGAGGGGGGGCGCGAGGGCCCGCGCCGATCGGCAAAAACATGAATAAGAAACGAACAGTAAACAGGAACGTCCGTCATCTAGCTTCTAGCGATCCCCTCCGGACCCTTGCTGGGTGCGTTTCGGACTTGGCGAGGCCGGCGTAAAGTCGTCACGTCTGGAATATGTGATTGGGCGAACGCGGATCCCTTGCTGTATACTTATGGGATGCTCACACCACTATTGCATCTTGCCGTATTCGGTCAAGTTGGGTTCTGCCCTGATTTGTCATGCTCTTTTCTGCTCTGTGCCAATTTCGACAGGCCGGAGTGACGCCGTGACGCCTGTCGAGTTTCATACGTCGCTCTTTTACACAATGGCATTACATTCGTACCATGTTATGTTATGTTCAACGGTTGTCGTATTCTCCCCTGTTCTCATTGATTGCTGTCTCACGGCCTTGCGTCAACGCGCATGTTGCGTCTGAGAGGATGCCGTCAATCGATTGTTGCTGCGTTCTCGAGTGCTTGATTTTGCTTAGACCGGGTACCTTGTACATGATTATGTAATCATGATATATTATGTCCCTTGCACTTGTTTTATCGAAGGCCAGTCTGACGTCATGACGCCTGTCCCATTTGATCCGCCAATAGGTATGTTATGTCCTGTCCGGTTCCAATCCCTTTTCTATGGCCACTACTCTACATGCACTGATGCTGTGATCTGTTATCTTCTGGCATGGCCGCTACCATTTGTCCAAATATGTGCAGTTCTGTTTTGTAATAATACTATATTCATGCCTCTTGAAATTTTGGTCGGTCTGTATGTTCTGAGACCTTGCATTCGACGTCCTGATTTTTCCATTACGTCGACCCCTGGAAATCTCGACCCCCTCCCCTGGACCCGTTTTTCATCCTGAGTCGTTTTTTGACGGCCCCGAGGCCAGGTAAGGGCCAGCAGAAGCCGAAAATAGCAAAAAGAACCTCCCGTGATGATTCTTTCATTGCCCGAGGGGGTCCGGGGATCTGCCGGCCGCGGCATGTGGCGGCCCTCAGACGGATCCCCGCGGGACCACGCACGAATCTACTGGATCGGCGCTGGACGGACGGATCACGCCGGGAGCGGCGCAGGAGCAGCCGCCGCGGGGTCCCAGCGCAGATCCAAGAATTCCGCGCGGACCTCTGAAAATGTATGCTCTTGCTGTTTTGTTATTCTTCCCTGAACGTTTCGGCCCTTGAGCAAGGAGCCGAAAATTCCGAGCGCGACCGTGGCGATTGATTCTTTGCTCCGGGGTAGCCGTGTTGACCAGCCACCTCGCCCCGACCGAACGTGGAAGGCATCGAGGCATGTTCCTCGGGATCGGTGTTTCTGCCAACCATCGTGTGGTGCTGAGCCCTCGTTTTGAATCCGCAGCGCCCCGCGTCTCCTCCACTCCTCCCCCTCCTCCCCCTCCTCCCTGCGCGCCCTCCCACACCCCACACGCTTCGCTGCCCAAAGGGGAGCTCCTCCGAGGGCGGCTCCTCCAACTGCACTACGTACGACTGTACGCATGGATGGGTCTGGATGATGTTCTAGCATCTGGGGGCCTGAGATCTGCCAGCTCTCTAGGGGCCGCGGGGGACCTACCAGGCAGTCGGACCACGGATGCATCGGCCAAGTTCCACGCAAGGAAACCTGGCAGAAACAACAAGTGGCAACAACAAGCGTCTTGGAACAGCCTGAACTGGGTTGCGCCCCCCGCGGTGAAAGGGATCGGTGGTTCGCAGGTGCGCCGGTGGCTGCTCTGCCTCCCCGGCCAACGTGAGATCAGTTCTAGTAACTTTGGACCCCTGTGGCTAGCGTTTTCTTGTTTGGCGTTTCGACATGGAGCGAAAAGGGGGGGAGGGGGGTCTGGCTGCGGACCTCTGCTTAATTGGGGGAGACCCCACGTGTTCGAAATAGGCGCCCCCCAAAAAACAATATCTACTCCATGGAGGGAGACAGGGGTGGGTGCGAGGGCCCGCGCCGATGGGCAAAACAAGGAATAAGAAAACGATCGCGTGACGTGCTTCGATTGTTTGGAGGCGTGTCCAGACCATGCTAACTCACGCTTGGGTGGCCAATTTGTGGCGCTTCGCATGTCTCCAGCCCATCCAAGATCAACCGCCAAACGAATTGCACTGACCAGGGATGTGCAGCAGAATGCAGTCACGCTGTGGGTTCCTCTTGGACGGATCTTGGGGGGATGAGACCCCATTGGGGCCGTGGAACCCTTTTCGGGCCGTCTTGGGGCATTCGTGAGCTATCTTGGGGCCCTTGATGTGGCCTTCAAGGGGCCTCTTGGGGTTATCTTGGAAGCTACGACCTAAGAGGGGGGGGGACCCCGCGCGTCCCCCCCCCTCCCCCGTTGCAGCCAGACGAACGGTCTCGTGGGGCCCTGCTTGGGTGTTCGTGTGGCGATTTGGGGACCGCCTTGGGTCCCTCTCGGGGCTCGCTTGGGTCAGTTTGTCCCATCTTGAAGCCTCGAACGCCCGTCGGGGGCGAACAAGCGACAATGGAACAAAACAAAGATTTTATGCAATTCTTGAACGCGTGACCTTTCGAGGGGTCTTTGGGGAACTCCATGGCCGCTTGAAACCTTGTGCGGGCGGTCCTGGAGCCGAGTGTCAACTTGTCATTAACAATTCCGCGGGGGGCGCGTGTTAAATGACAGGTGCTCCTGTTTGGGCGAGTCGCGGGGGTGACGCCCGCCAAATTGAAACACAACGGTGGCGGCGCTGGTGATTGGCGCCGGCGCCCAGCCGCCAGCGAGAAGGCGACAGAAACAACATAGACTGGGGGGAGGGGGGGGTGCGGGAGGCACGGGCGGCAGAAGCAAGGACCGTGAGCCAGGGCGACGCCTGTTCGAAATAAAAAGGAACTGCCGTCGGCGCTCGCCCGCGCACTTTCCGTGCTCTGTTTTGTCGAACCGATGCGCCTCTGTTGCCCTGGACGCGAGCAGTGCGGGCTGGACGAAAGGGGGGCGTGGCCAAGCGGGGATTTGCAAAGAAGCTCTCAGTGCTGATTTTCCGAGCGCCTCTTGGCGCCGAAAGCGGCCATGCATCCAGGACTGGCCCTTCGGCGGGGCAACCGAAATCAGCTGCGCGCAGCAGGTGTCGGAGCCCCCCTTTCCTTCCCCAGCATTTCGTCCGACCCGAGCAAGGCGGGCAGTCCTCGTCACCCCGTTTGTCCTGGTGTTTAGTCGTCGACGACGACGACGACGAGCAGGCCCAGGTGTAGTCGGTGGCGTCGACGACGCCGACGATGACGAGAACGAGGACGAGGAGGGGACGAGAACGAAAACGAGGACGAGGACGACGGACAGCGGAAGGCGACGGCGACGACGACGTCGACGACGACGAGACCCACTGCGGATGCCCTATGGGGGGGGGCTGCGCTGGCCCGTTGTAGTCGACGGCGACGACGACAACGACGGCGACGACGACGACTTGGGGACGCCGCATGGGGGGTGGCGGGGCTGCGCAGGCCCGCTGTAGTCGACGATGACGACGGCGACGACGGCGCTTGAGAGGAGACACAAATTTCCCTCCGATGTGTGCGGCCCCTATTATAGAAAGCAGTCGTTGT